TTCGGTATTTGAAGACTAATTATAACAATTAGAAATTATTTAATAATTTCAACGATTGTATTTAATCACTTTATGCAGAAATTTCTTTAGCTTTATTCAAATACCGAATGAAAAAAACAAATTTTGATTCAATATTTCATTACATAGTAAAAGGTCTTAGCATTGAAATGCACGAACGTGCAAATATCTCAGACGCACTACGTATTTTTGACACGATTATTTATCGTATACGCATTGAAGCAGTTTTTAATTATACTATTTATTTTTAGTACATTAGCCTTGCAATATTAAATTTTATTTCTTTTTTTAAATGCAGAGTACTGTTTTGACATACTGCACTATGCGTTACGATAAGTACATAAAGGATAAGTCGAAACTACACATCCATCATATAAATTTAATCAATCAACTGCAGGTAGAGTCTTTTGTATGCATTAGAGTGGGCAGTCTAGGATAATTATAATAAAATATTACTGTTGCGTGAATCATATACAATTTTGTAAATTTGGATTAAGAAAAAAACTCGTGTATACCGATAGTGGCCAGGAGTATGATAACTTTGATGGTTATATTGCTAAAACTGACGTTTGCAGATTCTACCAGCGTCAGCTCCTAGCTCTGCTCGTCTCCCCGCCACTACTACTACTGCTACTACTACTACTACTACAGCCACCGTGAAAAAAAGTCTAGCAATCGAAACTGAACAAAAAAAAAGCCTGCCTGCCCACTAACTTCCCAACCAGTCACCATCAGTCACCACCAGTCACCGGTAGGAGCCAAGTCGTCCGTCAGTTGACAGTCCGATGCTGTCCGTCAGTCCGTCAGTCCGTCTGTTCCCCTTCAAAAAGACTTCTTCGGGCTACCTCAACCTCTAGCGGCTAGGAGCATCGTGAATCCATCGAACAGCCGACGCGATATGAACGAATACTTCTGTCAAAATCTCGGCGCGTCAGTCCGTTCGTCCGTCCCAACTTCTACTACTACTACTACTACTGCTACTACTACTACGTCGTCAACCATCACGTTAAATTTAGCCGACAACGCGACCGCCACTTCTCTTCGACTGAGCAAAGCAAAATGATCACCACCTACACACCATCCCACCACCACCCAACCAAGTACCACCACCACCAACCACTACATGTTCACAGTTGTCTGGTATTTCACCGATTTTCAAAGATTTTTTATCTTTTTTTTTTTTTAATCTAATTGATGGTGTCACGTTCTCTGTAGTCCAATGACAATTTATATTAATTATGTTTATTCAACAGATCTTTAGTGAACGGAATGCAAGGCACTGGTTAATATTTCTTTCTAATTATTTTAGTGATATGTTTCACATTGGACCAGAGAACTGCCGCCTGTTACATAATATGTACTTATCGAGATATATATTTACATATATATCTATAACAGTTACTAGTAAAAATTTAATTTAACTAATTTAATCCTACTTTCGTTTATTGGTTTCTCAGTATTGGTGAGATGTCATTTTGTATTAATTACTGTGTCTAACTAGATTTATCACCCCTTAGGCAAATAGGATTTAGCCAGTCCTAATTCTATTACAGTTGCCTTGTGATCATTTTCGTACCTATGTGTTTAACGCACGATGTTTTGTTTCGTCTCATACTTTATTTTATGTAGTGCCTAATATGAACATATTTCATCGTACATAAATTCCTGTTATATTTTAATAGAATATAAAATGTGATTTCGGTGCAGTTTTAGATAGTATATCTTTCAGAAAATTATACATATTTATTATGATAATATCATAAGATTTTGAGACGAAGTAAAAAGTCGTGCAATAAATTGTTTTCTGATTTTGTGTAAAAATGGTATAAAAATTGTTTTTAACATTTTAGGTCGAGGTCACGCAGTCCTCGTAGGAGATCTTTGACCCGAAGCCGCAGTCGAGACCGCCGTTCTCGTTCGGATTCCCGTGACAGACGGTACTAATATTATCACGAATTATAAAAACGAACGAAAAATTTTACCTGAAGGAGGAGCAGGAATTAAATCTTGCCACTATAACAAAAATAATCATCTCCACGTATACTTTTTTCAGTGTTCAGCATGGAATGTAATATCTTAGATAATACTATCTATAATCGTTAAAGACTGGTGAAAAAGAGTAACAAAAATTATTGACTTGTAGGATTCCATTGCATTTTATAACAAACTAAAATCTCAGTATTTTAACTTATAATACCAACGAAAAATTTATCTGATATTAAGCATTTTTAAATATTTGTGTTACTTTTTATGTATCATACATTGAAGTCTGGTTGGCAATGCAAAACAATGATGTAGCGAAGTGGAATTGAGGATCAAGTGAATATTTTCTAAGTGTGTTCTCTATTTACTTTCAGTTAGGTGCTAAATAAAAATTTTCGCGAGAATGGAAATGGACTATATGTGCCGGATAGACGATGTGGAACTGAACATGGATGGAACAACTAAAACCCTTAGTACAACGTGAAAAAATTGATTACAAAAGACTTGTCCATTAATATTAAATTTATTAAACCAGTATTGTATTCTAAATTGTATTGTATTTGTAAATCTCTTCATAGAGTTGTATATAATTAAATCTTTTATAATTTAAATCATGTAAAAAATAAAATTTTTATATTTGCTATAGCTAAATTATTATTTTTACACATTATTATCTATATCATTCTTTTAATTATCATATTAAAGTACATGAGAACATGTTTATTGTACTGTTGATGCAATTAAGTCAATACAGAGTATTTATTGAATTTCATTAAAGAATTGCTTTATATTACTTTTTTCTTAAATAAAGAATTAAAAATGTTTTTAGTAAAAAGGTATTACGGCTCAGTGTATTAATTTTATGATACAATTTATTTATAATTCAAATTAAAAAAAATATTTTAATCCTACATTAGCAGTGTAAATAGTAAAATTAATTATTATTTTAGAAATAAGATTTGATAAATAGAATAAATATAATTTTTAAATATAAATGTAATATAATTACATTAAACTTTCGTTTGACTAGAAAGTAGAAAGTAATATACATACACCAATGCCATCTTAGAAAGGAGGCTACGGAATGAGATTAACGCTATATGCGCCACCATTTTGTGGGCATTTCTACTTGTGCTGTTCGAGAGACTGGTTGTGTGTGTTATAAGACTATCAAATCTGTTTAATAAATTTAGACATTTATAATGTAAGTGAGATATAGTGATTTAGTAAAAACTGATACATATTTATTTACTTTTACATATTTTAAGATATATTATGAGCCAATAGAGCAAATGCTTTAAAATTTCCATGGCGTCGGTTTCTGTTTCGACAGATTCTAATGCCTCGTTATATTTGTATATTTATATAAACAAAATTTAAAACAAAGCAACTGTTATATGCAAGAAGAATATTTTAAATAATGCAAAAGACCTACCTATTCCATTTAAATTTACATATCCAATTGGTATAATTATTTCTCGTTACTACAGTGAATTGGGACCATAACATGGCGGTATACTAACTTTCGTTTTTCAGTGTAATTGACTAAGTTTTTTGACTACATTGACTGTAGATTACAAAAACTATTTATATAACATTAATCTAGTTATAAAACAGATATCCATAAATTATATATTACTATTAAATTATAAACGTTGAGAAAGCAGTATTATTTTCGCCACCGGTCGATATTTTTTTAGTATAGGTAAACTGACATTGGGTGTTGATTTATTCTCATCGACTATTCGGTAACATAACTATCAAGGACATAGTATCTATTCATATTAAACATTTATATGCTTGAAATACATGTGATCTATGCCAATTTATATCGATATTTTATTATATTAACCAAAATAATTGTTATTTACAGACAAAATGTCACGTTATCGTGAATGGGATCTTTCGTGTAAAGTATACGTTGGTAATCTAGGAAACAGTGCGAGTAAACATGAAATCGAAAGCGCATTCAGTAAATATGGTCCCCTTAGAAATGTATGGGTTGCCAGAAATCCACCTGGATTTGCATTTGTGGAATTTGAAGATCCACGTGATGCAGAAGACGCAGTCAGAGGATTAGATGGAACGTATGTGTTGTATAGGATGTGTGCAATAATTCATTTTTTATAAATAATTTTAATGTTGAATATAAAAAATTTTATTTTTCCGTCATTTTTTAGACGCTGTTGTGGAACCAGGGTTAGGGTAGAGATGTCCTCTGGAAGAAGTAGACGTGGTGGTGGTGGACGTAGACCAGGTCCAAGATATTCCAGGTAAGAAATCTTGAAGTATTAAATATCCGCATTTTACAGCAATGTTTGAGCTGCTGCAGCTGGCTAAGTGTCTCGCCAAGTAGGTATTACAGTGCAGTTTTTGAATAAGAATGTCAAGAAACAATGCACAGGATTCGGTGAATTTTTTTATGCACATAGGATGTAAATTGATATTTTTTTTCATTATTTTGTAAAGGAATGCCAATAGAATATATTATATTATTTTTATTTGATCTTACTGCTCTTCTGGCTAGTACCCTTATATGAATAGTTAATGCAAAGATTTGATAAACTATAATGATGTGAATATGCAATATATGAATGAATATAGAAAGAAATATGTTAAGCAAAATGAAATAGCCATATATAATATTTAAAAGTTTGTGAGGTTAGCAGAAGAGCAACCAAATACACTGCATGGGAAACCTAAACGGGAGATGCTCGGGCAAAGTTTTAGTTATGGCAGAGGTAGCAATTTCATTTATAGCTCATTTTTTTCCCATTGTAATCTCGTTGTGAATATGCTTAGCAAACAACAGGATTCACATACCATATATCTTTTTGACAAACTTGTAGGTCCAGATCTCGCAGTCCACGTAGGAGATCACTGGGTCGATATCCAAGGTAAGCCTTTCCTAGCCCTGTTGAACACAAATTTTCAGGTGCGAGTAGACAAAAGAAAGAAATCAAAGCGAATCGTGGCGATCGGCACCACTATGAGCCGTCTGAGAAACATACAACAGTTTTTCTTAATTTTTTTTAGGTCCTGGTCAAGAAGTCCACGCAGATCACCAATAAGCCGATATTCCAGGTAATTTCTTTTTGATATACAATTTTATCAAATTTTCAGGGCCCATCCAAGAATATTCGATCTACAAATTACAAGTAGGTATTTGCAAGTACCGCTTGTATTGTGATCATCGCAATTTTGCACGCAGAATCACAATATATCATGTAAAACATGTAGAGTAATTTTGTTCAAAATGTCTGAATTTAAAAAATTGCGTAATTGTCACGATCGGCGGTCAAATATTGTTAATTGATTGGTGTAAGTTGGAGAGGACAGGACTATAATAGATAGGCGGTGGACGAAGTAATAATTTGAACCTAGAAAAAAGGGAAATCAAAATTTGAGATTAAGAATTATTTGGCAACTACAAAGCTTGTTTGAAGTATAAAAAACAGCATCGGTGGCAGGTAAAAGTAAATCATAGCGGTGTCTGGTGTTATTTTTTACCAGTTTAAAGCAGTTTATTTCTAATGCTTGTTGCGAATTTATTATATAGAACTTGATTAATTTTACTTTGTAAGTGTCTGAAATTAAGTTGTTCGGTATTTGAAGACTAATTATAACAATTAGAAATTATTTAATAATTTCAACGATTGTATTTAATCACTTTATGCAGAAATTTCTTTAGCTTTATTCAAATACCGAATGAAAAAAACAAATTTTGATTCAATATTTCATTACATAGTAAAAGGTCTTAGCATTGAAATGCACGAACGTGCAAATATCTCAGACGCACTACGTATTTTAGACACGATTATTTATCGTATACGCATTGAAGCAGTGTTTAACTATACTAATTATTTTTAGTATATTATCTAAATTTTATTTTTCTTTTAAATGCGGTGTACTGTTTTAGCATACTGCACTATGCGTTACGATAAGTATATAAAGGATAAGTCGAAGCTACACATCCATCATATAAATTTAATCAATCAACTGCAGGTAGAGTCTTTTGTATGCATTAGAGTGGGCAGTCTAGGATAATTATAATAAAATATTACTGTTGCGTGAATCATATACAATTTTGTAAATTTGGATTAAGAAAAAAACTCGTGTATACCGATAGTGGCCAGGAGTATGATAACTTTGATGGTTATATTGCTAAAACTGACGTTTGCAGATTCTACCAGCGTCAGCTCCTAGCTCTGCTCGTCTCCCCGCCACTACTACTACTGCTACTACTACTACTACTACAGCCACCGTGAAAAAAAGTCTAGCAATCGAAACTGAACAAAAAAAAAGCCTGCCTGCCCACTAACTTCCCAACCAGTCACCATCAGTCACCACCAGTCACCGGTAGGAGCCAAGTCGTCCGTCAGTTGACAGTCCGATGCTGTCCGTCAGTCCGTCAGTCCGTCTGTTCCCCTTCAAAAAGACTTCTTCGGGCTACCTCAACCTCTAGTGGCTAGGAGCATCGTGAATCCATCGAACAGCCGACGCGATATGAACGAATACTTCTGTCAAAATCTCGGCGCGTCAGTCCGTTCGTCCGTCCCAACTTCTACTACTACTACTACTACTACTACTACTGCTACTACTACTACGTCGTCAACCATCACGTTAAATTTAGCCGACAACGCGACCGCCACTTCTCTTCGACTGAGCAAAGCAAAATGATCACCACCTACACACCATCCCACCACCACATCTTTTTTTTTTTTTTTTAATCTAATTGATGGTGTCACGTTCTCTGCCGTCCAATGACAATTTATATTAATTATGCTTATTCAACAGATCTTTAGCGAACGGAACGCATGACACTGGTTAATATTTCTTTCTAATTATTTTAGTGATACGTTACACATTGGACCAGGGAACTGCCGCCTGTTACGTAATATGTATTTATGGAGATATATATACATATATACATATATATCTATAACAGTTACTTGTAAAAATTTAATTTAACTAAATTAATCCTACTTTCGTTTATTGGTTTCTCATTATTGGTGAGATGTCATTTTGTATTAATTATTGTGTCTAACTAGTTTTATCACCCCTTAGGCAAATAGGAATTAGCCAGTTCTAATTCTATTACAGTTGCCTTGCGACCATTTTCGTACCTATGTGTTTAATGCACGATGTTTTGTTTCGTCTCATGCTGTATTTTATGTAGTGTCTAATACGAGTATATTTCATTTTACATACATTCGTGTTATATTTTAAGAGAATATAAAATGTGATTTCGGTGCAATTTTAGATAGTATATCTTTCAAAAAATTGTTCATATTTAGTACAGTGGTACCATAAGATTGGAGACGAAGTAAAAAGTCGTGCAATAATAAATTGTTTTCTTAATTTTTGTAAAAATGGTATAAAAATTCTTTTTAATATTTTAGGTCGAGGTCCCGCAGCCCGCGCAGGAGATCTCTGACCCGTAGCCGCAGCCGAGACCGCCGTTCTCGTTCGGATTCCCGTGACAGACGGTACTAATATTACCACAAATTAAAAAACAAATGAAAAATTTAGCTGAAGGAGGAGCAGGAATTAAATCTTGCTCTTCTAACTTAAAAATAATCATCTCCGCATATACTTTTGTACTGTCCAACGTGGAATGAAATATCTTAGATAATACTATCTATGATCGTTGAAGAGTGGTGGAAAAAACAAACAAAAATTATTAACCTATAGAATTCCATTGTACGTTATAACTAAATGAAATCTCAGTATTTTAACTTTTAGTACCGCTGAAAAATTGGTCTGTGATATTATCACGTTGGGCGCGGCGTCAGTCTGTGTGGACTAACAGTGAACTTTTCGTTTGGGTGACATGATCAATATTATAAATGTTACAATGTATTTACAAAGAGTTCAAGAGCTAACTTACCATACCATTATGCTGTCTTTCTCAATGGGCATTTATTGCATCACTCTCATAGCCCGAACGGACAGATCGTCGCTGTTTGTCACACTCAACGTGTTAAGCAATTTTAAATAGTCATATTACCTATTATCTATTATACATCTGAGGCGGCTCTTCTAAATGAAGAGTGTTTGAAGGAAGAGAACGGAAGGAGAAGAAAAAAGATGATTTTGTACTGGGTCTGCTAGTGGACTCTTCAGTAAGGCTACTCAGCAAGCCCATGCCTCAGTTGTTGGTGCATCAGTGGCAGGTCTGGTTAGGGCGAACTGAGTACTTTCTAGAAACCTCAAATACATTTTCATTCTAAAGTCTTAAATTCGTAGGAGTACAAAGTAATTAATGCAACATGAAATGACTGTTTCCTATTGTTCCATGAATTTCTTCACACCAGAAACTACTGTGCCCCAAGTCAGTACATCTTAGCATTAGTTAAATACTCACTTTTATATTTATCATTATAATTGTTCTCAATTGTCACCGAATTTGTTTGTTTTACTCGTACACTTTAAAACAATAAGCACATCTTGTAAGAGATCAATTACACTCGATAGCTCGCGTCACAAAATGTTTTTATGTATGTAAAATGCGCTTGTACATAATATAACGTGTACGCGTGTGTCCCGTGCATGCGTGATTGTTGACACGCACTTAGGTGTGTAAGTGGTAAATTTTTACATTTGTTTTACACGTGTATAAAGTTAACGACTTAAATACTAAATATTGTGTACGTATTTGTTTCGTATCTCTTACAATTGTCGTTTATTTTTATTATTATCACTGTACTTCGATGTACTTTCTTATGTACACGTGACAACGATTATACTTTTTTCTTTGTACATATAAAATCGGTTTTCTTTTGCCTTCCATCTAGCACATTTAGTTGCTCCTTTCTCTTGAACACTTTTAGTACCTAACTGTAAACTTTAGTACCTAACTAGATAATACACTTAGAAAATATTTATTTCATTTAAAATTTAACTTCGCTTCATGGTTGTTTTGCACTGTGAATTGGAATTCAATGTGTAGCGATCGCTTTGCACTCGCCTCCAGAGGGATTCATGGAGGCTCGAGGTTTCTCGACAGTACTCAGTTTGCTTCTTACATATGGAAGTTGCCGACCTGCCATTGGTATCCCTGCGTCAGAGGCATGGGCCTGCTAGGTAGCCTTACCGAAGAGTCCGCTAGCAGGCCCAGGACGAAACAAATCCATTCTTTTCCTTCTACTCACGTCATTTTTTAAACACTCTTCGTTTAGAAGAGCTGCCTGAATTGTTTTGGTGTCCTATTACAAATAGCAGTTTGATGTTTATTATGGGGGCAGGACAGTTTGAAATTTGGAAAAAATCGATTTTTTTTTGTTTGTTTGTCTACAATAGTAATCTGGAGTCTTAGAAGTGATATATGAAAAGTCCCAGCCTTTAAAACTATTTTTTAATGTAAGGAGTGTAAAACCGATTCGCGATCTTGCGTGCCATAACGCATCGGTACATGCGTAATGGCTTGATGTGACAGTTATTATCATGGAGTCGATTCTAAAAGTGATAATATAAGAAACGTTGAAATTTTGATAATAATATCTGGCGTTTAGCTCCAGAAAATTTATTTAGCGCCACTACAAACGTTAAGATTACTGCTTATATTGCTGTTAATATTTTCAATAAAGGCATTTTTAGTGTTTTATTAATTATGAGTACTATGAATATAACCATAGGATCAAGAGTTGCTACACTATACGACACAATCGAAGAAAGGATTAAAACATTTAATACACGATCGTTTAGAAAGTCTAAAAAAGGTCGAATCGCCCACACATCCAGTCTATCAGCCGTGCAATAGACTAAAGTTGAAGCAGATGGTCATGCATTGATGTTCGATTTTCCTTAAATGGTTAACAATTTCAAAAGATATTAACAAAAAGGCGTAAAAGTTTTTCGTAAAAGTTCGATAGCTCAACTATAAGTAGCTATTGTTTTGCTAATTTTCAAAGAAATTGAAATGTTCGAACGTCAATGCCTAGAGAATAAGTTATAGTTTCAAGTCCTTTTTGATTTTTTTTCCAGCTGATCCCATTTGGCTGAAATCCTGCACACCGAAAGGCCATCTTGACAAAAATTACTTCAGAATGATGACGTCGCAAAGTTAAATAAGGGACTTTTTTAAAAAACTTGATGCTGTTTTATATAGTTTATAATATGTTGGAATAAGTCAGAAAAGCTTATATGAATGAAGCGTTTACTTTTTCTCCGGTGTTCCTTTAAAGTATCACTAATTTCTGAGCGCGTCAAACTATCCTGCCCCCTTAATAGAAATTAATAAAGTACTGAAGTAATAGTACAGTAGAGTTGTGTTTGTGTATTTCTTGTCCTGTTTTAAGTACTCGATTATAATTACTCAATTATAATAAATATTATTTTGTATTAAAAATAGGTTTTATGTATGTTTTATTCTCAAATTCTTGATTTTGTAGAAGTAGCGAGTTCTTAAATGTAAGAAATATTGCCTAAGGCAAGCATACATAATCGGACACTTTGTTGGCAAAGATGATAGTCCCTTACCGGTAAAGCAAGAGTTTCATCTAAAAGCTTCAGAACTTTTAAATAAGATTTTAACGCTTCCTGATGATTTCCTTCTTCTAAATATTGAGAGGCAACTTTGAGGATCTCATCTGTATCTTGCAGTGCTTTTAAACCTTTTAAAATATTCGTGCTTTTGTTACATTTGGGACATCTAATCATAAATTCGTTTGTATCTGTTCTTACGAGTAGGACGTTTCCACATTCTTTTCCAGTTTCACACTTGAATCTGAAAAAAATAATATACTTGATATTTTCAATTCCATATTTCATGCTGAGGTTAAAGATTATGAGCAGTGATAATATAGTTATTATATAATTATATTATTTGTGCCTAATAATAATATTTGATAATATAAATATCACTCTTGACAATGAATTTAGTCGTAATAAGAAATAATCGTATTTTCTGTTCCACAGTTAAATATAAGGATTTATCTCTAACATAATTTGCATGAACTCAATTTTGTGTTATGTCATATATGTCATATTATTTTGCATTGCTTCTTCTCCATCGTGCTTAAATAAGTGATACCTTAGAACAGTTGGATCGATTTTTTCTAAAACAGGCCAATGTGCTACACATGCTTCACAGTTACAGTCGAACCAGTATTGTAATCTTAGTTTTCTCTTTCGTTCATCTTCCGGAGTAGTTATAAAAATTGGGCCATAGTTTTCAGAAACTTCCTCTCCTGCCGGAATGGAGCGAATTGCTCGTACAACCATAGTGGTACCTACGAAGTACCTATATATCCAATGATAAGTGTTTACAATTTATTATGTTATATACAATGGTATATTTAGTGTATGAATGCTTTTAAGTATAGTTATTAAATTACAATTTCAGACGACCTTGATTGCGAATTTCATTGTTGTGTATAATAATTATAATATATATATATATTATAATTTTAAAATATAAGATTCCATTTACCTGATGATACCAGGGTTGCAAGAATGATTAAATAAGGCCACTGTTGGGTAAATTCCTCCACCAATAAAAACACTTTTACCTTTTGCCAGCATATTTTTGACTCTTGGTATCGCCAATTCTGATATCTGAAAATCACACGCGAGTGAATAAAATTGTTAGAAAGATATATTGAAAATTATATCATTGTTTATTTTCATATTATGCATTTTTAAATCTTTCTATTTTTTTTTTTTTTTTGTATTTTATAATCGATACTAATGTAACTAATACTTGTATGTAACTTACTTCATGTGCATTAAATTGTATCAACATTAAATAACGCAGAATTAACCCGCCTATATACAATTCACCATCAGAAGGTTTGACTTGTGCTGTATCTGGAGTTTTAACATGTTCCGGAAAATAACAGCTTTTTTTTAATACTCTCAATAACCAACTAGCTATGTATGTTCTGTGAAAAAGATCTTCTGGTGTTTTTTCATCCTCGTGAGTTACTGCATGAAGATAAACATGAGTGTATATTGTACATATACTTCTGACAATGAATTTATTAATAAATATATTTAATTTGCTAAAATAAATTAGTATAATATTAATTTTATTTTAAATACGTTTCTCCTCAATGTTAATACGAATATAAGTAACTAACTAATTATCTAAGTGGTATTAATAAATTAATTACTTAAGTCATAAACATCTTCGAAGTCGTTTGTTCGATAAGGTCGCTGTACTGAAACCTCGCACTTGTGCTTCGAATTTAATAATTTACTTTTAAACTTGTATAACTCTTCAAATGGATATTGAATAATTGATTTCAAGGCTAAAAAACAGTTTACGGAGGTTCCTGAAGTCCACAAAGTGGATAATAGTGTGCATTCGTTTTTATGGATCTCAGCATCCTGGTCTCTGCAGGAAATACTACAATAAGCCACATAACTGCATAGTTCACAAGCGGTTGGTATTGGTATGAATATCTTCACAAAACAGTAATGACAGTTTGAGAGTCTGAAATGAAATTATTTTAATTTTAATATTGATTATTTCACAAATGTTTCATAATTTTTAAAATATTTTTTGGAACTAATAAATAGTAATTTAATTATCATTAAGTCATTATCATTAGTAACACCATGAAACAAAAATTGTCATATTACCAACATTTGATAAATAACCTAACCTGTATTCCGCTAATAGGAATGCACAATATGGCTTTTCTATTACTAATATCTCGCCAGGCTCGATATCTCTTGTAGCAATAGCATGTCTACCTATATTACCACCTTCATCTTTGATATTGACTGATTTGCTGCAAGAAGGATACAGAGGATTGCAGTCTTCTATTTTAAGACTCGGTTTTTTAGGTTCGTTAATTCTTTGTTTTTGGGAAATCTTCATTGTTTTTTGTGCCAATTGATTACCCTTTTCTATCACGGCAAGCATAACTCTAATATCCATTTCAAGTTTTTGTTTTTTCTCTAGTGACACATTTGCAGTGTCTAAAGCTTGCAGAGTGTTTCTAAATGCTAGGATAGCCTCATCGTGTCTCTTTAATCCTAGCAAACATCTAGCACGTCGTTCTTGTATTTTGTAAAGAAGTTCCTGCGGGTAACCGACGCGTAAAGCTTCCTCTGCATCTGTCAGAGCATAACTGTATTGTTCCAGATGGTAAAGCGTTGCTGAACGATTCCCCAATACGACGCCTAAGTCTGTGGAATAAATTCATAATTGACTTAATTGTAATTTAATACGAGTTTAAATTGAGTTTATGAATATTATTTATGATTCTTGAAAGTAAACAAGTTTTTGTAAATTTAATTATATTTGAACATAATTAAAATAGTGTTAAACATTAATTTGTCAAGTTATATATATTTACAAGCTGTGTAATTTATTTGTAGGATTAGGTTAGGTAGAAACGTACCAGATAGGAAAAGCATCGTAAAACAACCATCCTAGAAGTAATAAAATTAGTGTTTGAACAGTACAAAAGAGGTTAAACAGATTTAATCCGGTAGTTTGTGTGGAAAGACCATAAAAGACTACTACTTATTAGATAACAACAAGTTACATTTAAAATTCATTTAAGAAATCTGTGCCCCTTCATGTATTAACTGAAAATTATTTTTACGTATTTCATCTTCGAGAAATATAATAATAATATGAAATAAAGCAAGAATTTTCCTGAAATTAAAAATTTGATAAATATTTGCTTATTGAAAGTGTAGCTATTGATTTTGGTATAAGAAATTATTTAAACTGGAGTATGGTAAAAATTTGAAAATATCACAGGTACAGATTTTCTACATAGCAAATCGAAATTAAAATTTTGGTTTTTATTAAACTGTGATGTTGTAGTATAATAGAAAAATAAAACAATGAGCAAAAAAGAAAATACATTTAAAGACAAAGAGTATAATATTATATTATCTTACAATGGTCAATATTTAAAGTAAGGATATTCGATAAACGTATTTGTATGAGCTTCCCTCTAGTGGCAAGTATAGGAAGTTAATCTTTATAGATTATTTTTATAGATTATTGCTATTTGGTTTATAAAAATTTGAACTATTTAATTTTCGAATGTATACACGTAACTGGATAATAAAAAAGAGGTAACAATACATTTAGTTATGTTATAAAATATTAATAGTGTAAATAATATACACAGTTCGAAATAGTTACAATAATAATGCTGGTCAGAATATATATTTTGAATATTTAAAATTATTCTTTGAATTCATAATTAAAATTCAATTCAATTAATTTCAATTAGATTTTATTAAGCACTTAATGTTAATTAAACAGCTTTATAAATAATATTATTCAATAGATTTTTGAATACACTTACAAAAAAAAAAAAATAATAAAAATTGGATAATATTATTATTTATAATTTCTTTTACACTATTGCCACAAGGTTATACATTATATTAGAAATTACATATATTACGTGTTAGAATTGGATTAAAAAAAGTGCTCTGATAAAAGTAACGAACGTTGTAATCGTTATATTGAGTTTACAACGCCTCATCATAATTGCAATATTAATATAGGGTCGGTACGATAAAGTGGACGCGTTGCCGACATAATTCATGGAAACTGTACCGATTGTTACGAGGCGATAAATTTTTCCAGAACAAATAACACGTGAGACCGTAACGCTTGAACAGTGTTAAATAAATACCGGCGATAGCATCAACAATCATTAATTACCTTTCCGTGGTGCCAACAGGACTGCATTCGAATACGTTTCCAATGCTTTAACGAATTCACCGCGGCCAAAATGCTTGTTACCGACGTCCTTGAGTTTCAGAGCTTTCTCGCTGTTCTTCAACATTTGGTCATCCATGAGATGTAAAGACAAATCGTAAATCTGTGGATAACCCAATACGAAGCCGATCCTTTCCCAGTTATTATTCAGGCAAATAAATTTTTTCATATCCTGTGGTGTAATCGCATTTTTCAGTTTGATGAAATTTGATCGAAAGTAATCACTAATTTCGTTGTCGTCTTCTTTGAACATTTTCGCACACTTCTAGGTAACTTTTTGTTACATAAAATATTTTACGTTTCGTAAGTGTTCAACGACGGTCACTTTATAGGTGCTCATTATACTACTTGCGAACTTTTTCACAGTTTACTGCATATTTTCGTGGAAGAAGAATGTACACGTAAGAATATGGAAGTACTTTCTCTTCTTGACTGAAAAGAACGTTTTCGTTCACTAAGAAGATTCTAGATTTTTAGAATGTTTATTACTCTCACTTGTGCAAGTAGTTCGATCGATCTAAACGATTACAATTAAATTTTCAGTCGGGCTGCAACTCGGTTGATACGTTACCGGTCGACGTCACACGAAACTACTGACATCACCCAGGCACCCTAAAACTATGTTCATCTATTTCTGTATGGGTTATTTCTAGCACTTGGAATATGAGATGTGCGAGACAACAAGGAAGTTCGACAGAAGCATGTGTCGTTACTGACGCGCGAATTTAATGCTGGTGATTTGTTCTACAAATTAAATCCTTTGGTAAAAGGTTGTAGGAATTAACGTTTGATGAGCAGCAATTAAGAAGGTTATATTACGTACACGCAAGGTAGAAGTATGTAAGTATACCTTCGCAGCTTTAAAGGATAGGTATATAAATTTTTTACTCAGATTATCGATTGAGAAATTTTTTTATTAAGATATTTCAAACATTCTATTTCGTTTTTTACATCTTCATTGAATATTAAATGGAAACATATTAAAATTTTTACTTCTATATAAGTTTTATTTATATTTTCATTTAAATTTTATTTCATAATAAAATATTAATCAAAATTTAAAATATACAATTTGAAATAATATTTAATATAAATAGATAGAAAATTCTGATTATGATTAAATATGATCTTCAATGTTATTTGGTGTCATATAAAAATGATTAAAGTAGGGTGATAGTATTCATATAAATGATTAAAATTCAATAAAATCTTTGCATTAATTAACGTTCTACATTTTTATTTTTATTAAAATCATCATTGTTTATTAACTAAAATAATTTTAGATGTTTGAGGAAAGGTGAAAGAACTACTTGGTTCAAAAAATAAGTCATTTATATGTACTATATATAGTGTGCAATATAAATCATGTATTTATATGTGGTATCTTACAAACTAATTTAAGTACAATATGTACAAAACTTAAACGAGGTATAAAATATCAATACGAAATGTACATGGATGTAGTTTTTTTTTTTTTGTGATAAAAATGCAATTCTATTGAACAAAATTGTATAGTGTCAAGTATGATTTCGATGGAACATATATTCATAACAAATTTTATGTTACTGTTAAAAGCATTGATTAAAGTGTAACAAATTTTACAAATTCTTTAGATAAATTTATATTAAGATTTAGAGCGTATTTAATTCCTTTTTGTTATTGTTAATGATAATCATTGAACAGATTTATTGCATTAAACATACTATTAACAGTAACAAAGTCTATTTTTACAAAGACACTGTTAAGTTTCTTATCCAAATACAATATTTATTTTTTGAATTACTGTATGCAAAATGCGTTAATTACGTTTGCATAATTTAATTTTGCCAAATCTTAATTGACTTATCTTTTGCTTCCTTCTAAAATACTCAAAATGGAAATAACTGAAACGTATAAATATACCCTGTCTCGTCAGTTAAGAATAAGGTCTAAAAGAACGCAAAAATTTAGTACACTAAACACCTAATCGTACTAAATACTTGTCAAAATGTTACTCAGACTATACAATGTATCGTAATAAACAGAACATCCAATCCTTTACCAATTAAAAATATTCGATCAGTCGGCGTTTCATTTTATAAAAATATCTCGTTATCAATTTCAAATATTAATTAAATCGAACAATCTTTTTTCGCAAAAGTCACCATCGACATGCTTCTTAATATATTGAGTCCAATAATCTTCCTTTCAGTAGACATTAACACAATTTTGATTTGTTTTCTATTTCGAGAAAAATAGGTCTCCAGTATAAGCGATATTTACATTCATTTTTCTTTTCAGAAGTCGTAAGAAGCTTCATCGTCCTCCTTCTTACGTCTGAATGCTATTTTGTACAATCCACCTGCAGCACAAGCTCCAAGAATTGGTCCAACCCAATAAATCCAAAGATTTTTCCATTGACCTAAGATGACAGCAGGGCCTAATGTCCTGGCAGGGTTCATGCTACTTCCTGTTACTGGTACAGCAGCCATATGAGCTACGGTGATAGTCAATCCAATCGCTAAAGGTGCCCATCCTTTTGTATCGCTTCTATGGGGATCTGTCACTGCATGAACAACCAGGAGCAAGAGGAATGTGACGATCGCCTCCATGAAAATACCTTGGCTTTCGCTGACCGTGCCACTTAGGTCCGTAGCACCTAAGCCTCGAGTAGTCGCCTTTGCTGGGATCAATAACTGCAAAAAATTACAATAATTAATTTTGGAAATATTTTTAAAATATACTAGATTCATCTATATGAAAAAATATCAAAGATCAAATACAGCTATTAAATTTTCCTGCGTTATCAAACGTTATAAAGTACATTAAGGAAGAATGATACCGATAAGATTTATAATAAAAATATTGAAATTTTGAACAAACTTTTTATAGCGGCTTAAATTTAGAAATATAAAAATGAAAAATAAAATTAAATTAATAGAAGACTATGAAATATATATGAAAATATAAAATATAAATATTATTTATAAAAAATTAAAACAATTAAATAAAGTTAAAGTAAAAAAAAATTAAAAATAAAGAATAAGTATAATATTAAAATAAAAGAAAGATTCATTTACTTTTCTTGAAATATTTATATAATTCTTCTCATTTTTTATCAATATCTGGACGATTTCAGAAATAAAGTTTAGAAATCGAATGATAAATCATTAAAGTATCATTCTATAAAAGTTCCTATCTTCGAATTGGTGAATGAGTTTTCGTGGTCAGTTTTCAGCTTATCGCATTCTATCAGGTTCCATTTCTTTTATTTTTTACTTAATACACTAAAATGACAACTGGTGATCGGTTAAAGAATGATTCGGTGCTTTTTTCAGTCACGTCAATTAGTACTGTTAGCATGAAACATTATGTCACAGCCGAAAAAAGGTAACTATGCTCGCTCTTCAATCGTACCGTTCTTATTGGGTAATTATAGTCGCATTTCGTTCAATGGGATCAGGTTTTGGGCGACTATGGCCCAGCAGCTGTAACGGTGAGGTTAATAGCTAACACATTGCATTATGTAATTTAATGCAACAGTATTTCAGGTATAAGCACGTCGTAACACTCATGCTTTATTACCGTTTAAAAAAATATTTATTTATTATTACCCATTACTTAAAATGACAAAACTACAAACGAGTGTAGTATTAATAAAATTATAATGTTTATTTTAAAAAGTTTGTTTATTAATTAGCCGAATAATCAAATATAACATAAACATAATTTTTTTATTATGTGCCATAACACACATCCGTGTGATTAACGATGTTCATACGTTTTTGTAATTAGGGTATCTTTTCTACATAAAGTTTGTACCACTCTATAAAAGAAAAAATGATAATTTTAACAAACGTATTTCAAATGTCGAATCAGAATATTATTATTTTCATTCTTTTTAATTAAAAGAACTAGTATTCATATAAAACAATGTATAAGCAATTGCACATTTTTTTCTTTTTATTGAAAACAACATAATTTTTATTTGTTATAAATTTAATTTCTTTATTACTGCTTATTTTCAAAATTAATTTAATATAATATTAAATCAATTGATACCAATACAATTTGCATTTATAGTTAATTAAAAGTATCAATTCAAGTACATTGTATTAGCTATTATGAAGTGTATTTCATTTGCATTATAATGCACGTGTAAAGTGATCATGCATTGATTGTTATCAATCGTGAGATGTGATAGACCATCAAAAGCTAATCATAGAGATTAATGTGCATATGAATCAACTGTCACGAGTGGATCAAGTATAATGTATAATACTTCGTCAGTCCGAGCGTGCGTGTGTCTGTAATTTGCTTGACTCGTTACCTTCTGATGTAACCCACGTCGGTAAACAGATCACAGGACCTTGACCTTCACGAGCATTTTAATTAAAACGAAATGATTAAACAGTTTTTTTTTTCAACGATTGAAGAGTAAAAATAGAAAAGTTAAAGAAATAAGCAAAAAGAAAATCCATTGTATTGTAATACATACCTACTGCAGCACGGTACACAATACTATCATCGTATATCATTCTCGAAATTTATTCCGATTGATAATTGTTGCTATTTATAAAACTCGCATAATTGATAATTTACTACGAAATTGATAATTTATACAATTATGAAATTTCAATATTAATTAAAAATTGCTCATTATTTACCTTATGATAACGTATCGACTCTGCTTACTTTCGCTCACTGTTTACATCTCGGATCATTAAACACAGCACCTTTGCAATGTGCGTACATATGTCACATAGTGTGTTATATGACGTGAATGCGACAAGCAAATCGAAATTTGTGAAATTTCGACAAAGTTTTCACAAGGGTTTATGGAAACTCGATGTCACGCGTTGCGATACCCGAAATAGGTTATGTCGAGGAAATTATTTGTTAGTATTTAACATTGTGGACCTGTAGATAATGAAAATCTGACCAACGATAAATGTGTCTATTAGTAATAAGTAGATTATTGGGTATTACTTGACTGACAAGTGAAAATGTGTCTTCTAATGAAATTAGTTACGTTTACCTTCAAAACTGCTGATCCGCTCACTAGGAGGCCTACTGATACCGCTGGATTCACATGACATCCTGAAATCGGACCTAGTACCTACAACAAGAATAATACACATTTGGTATACGTACGTAGAACGTAAATTAATATATATTTTTATATATTTAATATAGATTTTTAATATAATACAATTATTTTTAATATTAGTTCCTAAAATTATTTACGGATACGTTTTATTTATTGTTATATGCAATTGCATTTTACACGTCACTTTTAGTTTCATTTACGATTCTTAACTCTATGCACTCCGTGCATTTTTGCTCACGTCGATCAGTGATGAAAAAGATTTTTGTAATGGAAAATATTGCGAAATTAAAATTTTTGTTCGAAAAAGAAAAAAGAATTAAACTATTTATATATCAATATATCAAATTTAAAATTATCCAATGATGCGTGAAATATCGAAATAAAATAATTGTACGTCTTAATTTTTATATGATTTCTTATTTACTGTTTTAAAAATATCGTCGACTTTGTGGCAGAAAGTCTTGAATTACTATTTGTCTGTAATGAAAAAAATCGCTGAGTGCAAAGGGTTAAAAGCACCTACGAGTTTCTTCATAAAGTACTTTGTTCATTTTCGTCAGTGGAAACAGAAGTAAATAATAAATTGCGGCTTCGTAATCTCGCCGTAGTGGCGCCACTGGACTGCAAAGGGTTATTTGCAATAACGAAGTGCGTTTATATCTGCTAGTTCAATAGAAACAATCTACTTTTGTAAAATAATACTTCTAAATAATGAAAGATAAGAAAATAAAGGTTAACAAACCTATAATTAAAATAATTTTCGAATTAAAGTATTTTCCAAAATAAACTTCGTATATCAGCTGAATACAATGAATATTTACAAAGATTGGTACAGAAGATTACATTTTATAAAGAGACAAAGAAGTCTCGCTTCTTGTCAGGCAAACATACACTTGCATGATTTACCACGATCGCCCTAGAAACGAGTAGCATGCGTGCACGTTACGTGAGAGAGATAACGCTCGTGTTCCAAAATCTGTCCACCGATGTAACATGGCGTTACATTACAAGAGAACTCTTTAATTCTAATTCGAATTTCGCAATTTCTGGAGCACGGTTGACTAACGTACAGGTCGATAAAGAGATCTCGGACTTATCTCGTGGTACGAATGATTTCCTAACGATTATGGCGTTCCACATACATGTACACTCTCACCCGAAAGTATTCAAACATTTACATTTACTATGTTCAACAACTGAGAGACTATACGAGTAAAATTAGAAAATAATTTATACAATATTTATACTTAATATACATTTATTACTGTAATAATAAACGAATCGAAATATTTTACTTTTTAATTAATTTAATTAATTTTTTAATTAATAGTACTTTCGAGTAATATTGTATAATACATTATTAGTATATACTATTTTCATGATGGTGCATGTTTATATGAAAAATGTATCGTAAATATTATACACATAGATGAATTATTTTGTAATTCTACTAACATAATTTTGAAACATCTTTATTGGTATATACACATCGTTGGGTGTCCTAAAATCCACGCAGATTTTATAGAAAACACACAAATTTTTAATTAAAGATCATAAAAATTGCTTGATTCTTGCATGATTCTTTTGCGCAGTGCTCTATTTTTAATAACCCTAAATTTTCAGTTGTCACGTTGTCTTACTTTTTTCACTGGCATCACTTTACCGCGCAAATGGCGCAAAATTCAAATCTGGCGCGTTTTTTGGGACACTCTAATGTAGATGTTGAAATATTTTTGGATGCGAGTGTATATCCTCGTTGGGATCTAGGCTTATCGTTAGATCTACGATTATGTTTACAAAACGTCTGTTTGATAGGCGAGGTTAGCGAAGGAATTGTCGCGAAATTCCGAGCATTTCTCCTCGCTCTGTTTGGCCAGGAGGGGCCATTTTCGAGTGCGCAGCCATTTCGCTTCGAGCCCTTGAAATGCACGTGTGACTCTGAATATCTCGCATGGCAACAGACGCCCTTAATTCACGTTGCAAACTCGAGGCAATAAATGCGCGCGTATGCGTGTTCCTTTGTAGGTAGTATAAATGACGAACGAGTTTAAGAAAGATTGACGTAATGCGATTGATTTGTGCGTCTTTTTGCAACGGGAAGGTACAATCCTCTCTGGCGCAAATAGTTGGAGGGAATTGATTCGATAAACGCGACGAGGGAATGAGTTAAACAGGAAATTTTATTGCACGCTAATCATAAAGAAGCAATCCTAATAAATTTCAGTAAATTTTCTTTCGTTCAAGGCAATCGGCAATTTATAAATTCGTAGTAAATAATCGCAACGATGTAATTTGTAAATTTGAACGAATTTCGTTTCGCGCCAAATAAGGGTAACGAAGTAATTTATAAATTGAAATAAATGTCGTTTTGTTCAACGAATAATCAGAATTTATGAATTTTAACGAAGTTTGTCCTGCAAAAACTAATCGTACGAAGGTAATTTATAGATTTGAATAGGTTCCGTTTCGCGCCAAAATAGGATCACCAAGTAATTTATAAATTTAGGTAAATTTTGTTTTATGTTAAATAAACACGACGAGGTAATTTATAAACTGGAATAAATTCTATTCTCTTCGACAAATAATCGTAATAATTTGTAAATTTGTATAAGCTTCGTTTCGCGCTAAATAATCGTAAGTAATATATCGATTCAAATAAATTTATTTTCGCGCCAAATAACGAAATAGTTTTCAAATTGAAGGAAATATTATAAAAATACTGTAAAACAGCTTCGCGTTAATTCGATAATAAATAACAATAAATTATTATAAATAGTAAATAACAATAAATAATAAAACAGTACTAAATAGTACTCAAAAAATTTTAATCATTAAATTCTATTGTTTTTTCAAGATACAAAAAAATTACTTTAAAAATTGGTTTTAAAAATTAAATTTAACTTTGATTATTGTTTTAAGATTAAAAGAAATCGCAACAATTAAAAAAAATATAAAAAACAAATATCGTCTATTTACGTTGAATAAATAAATAAATATTTGCCCGTATATATAACTTCCTTACTTGTTCGAGCAAATATTAAAATATGCAAGTGTGCTTGTGGATTAGGTGGGAGAGTAAGAGTAAATACGTCGCAGACTCTTCGGCGTCAGTCAATCCACCGGAAACATTTGTAGTAGTAATGTGGCAGAAACCAGTTCGGAGGATCTGAGATTCCAAATGAGAACAAGATGTCAGAGAATAAATTACAAAGACAAAAAGCTGCGGAAGAAATCTTACTGGAAAGTAGATTTAGAAAAAAAAGAAAGAATTTTAATTACGTGTCTAGAGTCATTAAAATTCAAATTTGTTAATTTAATATAACAGAATATCTAAACTGATATACATATACATATACATATACATATATATGACTCCACTTTTTGAAGATTCTGTATAAGTAAATATATATAAATTATATATATAATATATAAAGTGTTATATGTGTAATATGACATATTACATACTATATATAATATATTGTACATTATATACTATATGTATTGCATAAATATATATTATTTGTATATGTAGTGATGTACATATTTACTTTTACAGAACTTCTAAAAGTGTATCTATATAAAGCATATTATATATACTAATACAATTAGTATTTATACTAATGTATTAATTAGTAATTAGTAGGTACTTGTTATTATATTCGTAAAATTTATCCAAAAATGGTACATAATTGTACCGCACAATTCAGTCCAAACACGTGATTACCCATGCGCATTTGTAAAGTGCTGAAACTCCTGGCCCCATCACAAATTCTCCATCGACTTAATATTTCACTTAATGGTCCCAAATATCCAAGTACGTAAATCAAAAACGTGCAACAAATAAAGCAATAAAACTTCGATCCTTAATTTAAAAAGAAGAAAAAAAAAGACAGTCCTAATAATTTAACATTTCAATACCCAATCAGAGGTTACACGCGATTAAGAAAAAGGAGCAGTAAAATTTTACAGAAAAGTCGAAGCAAAAAGATAGCTTAAAAAAAAAAAAGAAGAAGAAACAGATCATAATATACAAAACCAAAAATAAAGATAAAAAGTACAGAGCAGAAATGATTCGCAGGATACAAAGGACGAAAATTAGAAAAGAAGAAAGAAGACACGCGTGGTAGGGGTGAAGTCCGTGTAAGAGAGGGAAGTGTAAATGATGTCTAGATCGGTGGCTGGTCCGATTTGAGTGCGGTAGACTGAGTGGGGCGGCGGTGGGCCCCGCCACGGCCCAGTTCTCATGCACGTCGACAAGGTCTCGGTTCGCCCCGGGCGATCGGTACACATGCGCCGACGAGTTGCCGCGATTACGCAACTCATCTTCTCGGATTGTACGCTTTTCCCCTCTTCTTCTTCTCCTTCTTCTTTTACGCTTCTTCTTCTCCCCCCTCGGCGCCTCTTTCTCTTCTTCACCGCCACGACCCCGTCGTGCGCGGCGTTTTTCATCGATGGTGTCGCGCGGGGATAGCAGCGACGTCGGTCATTCGGCATAAATTTTCTGACCACGGTGCTCCGAGCGAAGATCAAACGGCAAGATATGAACTAATTGATTTTATTAATTACAAGTTCGAGCACGGGCGACGCGTGGCCCTCCTTTTAATCGAAACGCGAGTGGCCGGCACTCGCGAGGACGGTAATTACCGGGCGAAGGGTTTCTCGCTTTAAACGATTGCGTGGCTGCCGCGACTTTTGCAAAAATTAATTTCAACCCATTGCGCTCTGGTTGAACAGGAGGCCTTGTGCCGAATGAAAAAAATATCCTATGCCGTGCGATTTTAATTAATACGCGGCCCACGGCAGGCCGAACAGCGCGAAGAGACGCGCGTACACGCGCGAATCTACAAAGGGGAAAGTGTTGCTTCAACTTTTCATCGAGCACCGCCGTCCTTCGTCCATGCTCGGTTGTTCCAAGAAGAGCAATAAACGAAGTCCGGCTTTTATTCGGCAGCTCGCGCCTCGATAAAACTTCGTGCGCGAACGCCCTCTGCTTCTCCGTCTTTGTCGCA